CGCTGAATGGCAGCACAGCCTTCTGGTGTATCAGCCACTCCTCCCAGGTTTATGTCATCAGCAAACTTGCTGAGGGTATGCTCTGTCCCTTCATCCAGGTCATTGATGAAGAAGTCGAGTAAGACTGGGCCCAGTACTGACCCCTGGGGGACACCACTAGTTACCAGCCTCCAACCAGACTCGGTGCCACTGATGACAACCCTCTGAGTTCTGCCATTCAGCCAGTTCTCTATCTACCTCACCAACCACTCATCCAGCCCACACTTCCTCAGCTTCCCTAGGAAGATGTTATGGGAGACTGTGTCAAAAGCCTCGCTGAAGTCTAGGTTGACAACATCCACGGCTCTCCCCTCATCTACCCAACCAGTCATACCATCGTAGAAAGCTATCAGATTGGTCAGGCATGATTTCCCTTTGGTGAATCCCTGTTGACTGCTCCTGATGACCTTTTCCTCCACTTGCTTGATGATGACCTCTAGAAGGAGCTGCTCCATCACCTTTCCTGGGATGGAGGTGAGGCTGACCAGTCTGTAGTTCCCTAGATCTTCCTTCTTGCCCTTTTTGAAGATTGGAGTGACATTGGCTTTTCTCCAGTCCTCGTGCACCTCTCCTGTCCTCCAGGGCCTTTCAAAGATGATGGAGAGTGGCTCAGCAATGACATCCGCCAGCTCCCTCAGCACTCGTGGGTGCATTCCATCGGGGCCCATGGATTTGTGGACGTCCAGATTGCTTGAGTGATCTCTCACACAGTCCTCCTTGACCAAGGGAAGGTCATCCACCTCCTGGACTGCATGTGCCTGGCTGCGTGGTCTTTCCAGCAGACATGAGGGTGGTTGAAGTCCCCCATGATAACCAGGGCCTGTGACTGTGTGGCTACTTTAAGCTGTGTGTAGAAGGCCTCATTGCCTTCCTCTTCCTGGTCAGGTGGCCTGCAGTAAACACCCAACAACAGTGTCACCCATATGAGCCTGTCCCTTAATTTCTTATCTGACATGATTCCATAGGGATTGCACTCCTTCCTCCAATAATCTTCCGCTATCAAAACACCAAAGGTAAAAATATTTCCAAAGAAATCTGTCAACATTTGTAAAGATTAAATTAACTCCCTAGGCCATAAGAATCCAGGAGAGCTGGGGAGGCTGAATTCAGTATATATGCAGGCCTTATTCTCTGGGAGGAAAGATAAGTCATCACAACCTAGCAATTTTTAAAGTAAAATTATACCATGCATTTACCCATTTATAATTATATATACCTAATTATAATGTAAAATTACACATTTTTAAGCATACTTTAAGCACATGATAGACACCAGTGATATGTTAGATGAGACTGTAGATCAGGGTTTTTCACTTCTTGAACAACAAAGCAATCACTGAAAGACTTCCCATTGAATATTAATAGCATTGTTCCTTTAGCTGCTGCAGACAAATCAGAGCAAAGCCTCATCTGCTCCACCAAAGCAGTGAGAAGGATAAAGCTGTATTAAGACTTTATTTTCTTAACAGTACGAAGAACTGGTAGTCATTGTCTTTTACATCTTCAACATTTTCTTCAAATCAAAACATTGACCAGAATTAGGTTCCCGTGATAATGTTACTAAATCTGCTTACAGACATTTTTAACAATTTAAAAAACGCTTTATAACAAGCCTTTACTTACTCTGTTTTACACGGCTGCTCTCTTGAGAGCACATCTCACTTGTCTCATTTCGTTGAGAAATTCCCCTCTCTTTTGTGAGCTGAACATTGACATCTGCCAATCCAAACTGTCTGCCCTTTTCAAACATCTTGTGCCTGTTCTCCTTCTGAAGCATCGATTTCCTGCGAGCAACTTTTGTTCTGAGGGTTTCTGTACTCAAATCCTTTTTGTATCGACTGGCAAACTGGGAGGTAGCAGCCATCTTGATGACCCTAGACATAAATCATCACGATTAGGAAAAAAGCTGTCATGGTTTGTTTTGCCCTTTTCATTAGAGTTTGCATGTTACAAACAAAGCCTTAGGTTCCTCATTTCTGTATGCGTACCAGAGAGAACGCAAATGACTGTTTCAGTAATGACCCTTCATTATTTCTCTTTATTTTATGCATTCAAGGAGCTTGTTTGTTTGTTAAGTGGTCAACAAGTCCGACACAGAATTAGTAGGGGATGCTGTGTCACTGCCAGGGACCGTCCTGCTGGTCTGTTTCCAACACAGATGTTTTTCACGTTAAGGAGACAAGCAAGTAAATGACAAGGCTGTAGGACAATAGTTGGAAGCAACACTGCCAGTGAGCGTTTAGATTCTGCCCTATCTGATGGCAAGGCATTCGCGTCGTGCATCAGAGTACCTGGCACCATTTCCCAGTCGAGTTTCCAGGACGCAACTGCAATACAATAGCATTGATTTCAAGCAGGATTTCTCCCTACTTTGTTGACCTGAGGAAGACTTGATGCAAATATCAGTTGGTCTGTATACACTATGCTAGCAGCAATGCAAACACCTCCATCCCCTGCACCCTGCTAAAGTCTGTCTCGGTGAGGGCTTTCGTGCTTTCCTCCTGGAGAGAGGTCAGCACCAGCTCTTGCAGTTGGTCTTACTCTGTGTGCCACCTCAACCAGGGTCTCTTAGAAATCTCATCTTCCATTACTTACAGAAAACAGCTGTACAGTAAGGAGGGTGACAGAGCTAAACTGAACAGCCAACAGTTACTCACTGACCAGTACATTGGTCATTTATTGAGGTTCTTCATTTCAAGATAGCAAGCTTTGATCAAGCTAAACAAATCATCAGTGAACCAAACTGAAAAGATCAGCCTTGACTATGGGCATAGAGAATTTCTTAAAGTCCCCCCCCCATTTGCTACCAGTATCTCAAGCCAAAAACACCACCAACAACCTAACTGAAAAACCCAGATGTCAGAAGAGTACCAAAACAAACAGAAAGAGTACAGAAATAAATAACACTGTACTCTTAAACTGTATATACTTATGGAAAATCCAAGCAAGGAGAGAATCTGAGCTACCTTTAAGCAGGAATACAAAGTCTCTTCAGATACCACCACTGTGGCAGCGGCAG